GAATACTATAAGAACTGATGCTTTAAAAATTTTTTATTCATATAAACAAAATTTAATTTCTTTGTTAGCAAATTTTAATTCTAAAGTTGCAATTACTTTAGATGTTTGGACATCCATATTTAATATTAGTTATATTTGTATTACCGGTCATTTCATTGGTGAAAATTGGCTTTTGAATAAAAGAATTTTAAGTTTTATTAGGCTTGAAAGGCCACATAGTGGCCGAGTTATTGCTGCAAGTATTTTAAATACTTTGCATGCTTATGGAATAGAAAACAAATGGTAAATTATTTCATATTAGATGTGCATGTCACATCTTAAATTTATGTATTCAAGATGCCTTGAATATTATTTCAAATCATATTTCAAAAATTAGAAATTGTAGTATATATATAAAAAGTTTCGGGGCAAGAAAATAAGAATTTAAATATTTATGCCAAAATTATGGTTTAAAATATAAACATTTTATATTAGATGTAAAGCATAGGTGGAATTCTACCTATGCAATGTTAGAAACTTGTATATCTCATAAACAATTTTTTTTTTCTGATTTTTATAATTTAAAAATACCTAATGATATGATATTTGAGGAAGACTGGGAAATGGCAGTCTGTATAAGAGATTTATTATCCAACTAATTGTAATTTACCGTATCAATTAATGGTAATTAGTGATTGTTTTTCCAAATATAGAAATAATCCATTGAATCCACAATTTCAATGTATTGTTGAAATTATGGAAAATAAATTTAAAAAATATTGGGAGAACATTTCTCCCCTTTATTGTTTAGCTACAATATTAGACCCTAGGATTAGGAAAGATGGTTTAGATATTTTACTTGAAACATATGAAAATATGAATATTGATATAGGAAATATAAAAGAAATTAATAATTTATTATTTGAAATGTACAGTTTGTATGAATTTGAAGTTGTGGGAAATATTCCTACAACTTGTTTAGCTTCTTCTTCTTCTCCTTTAGACTTTGAGCCTAGTAGTAGAAGAGAAAACTTTTTTATTTAATAAGTAGAAGGCAGAAATCTGCTAGTTCTATAACAAGTTCATTTACTGAACTTAATTTTTATTTGCAAGAATTTTTTTTTTAATTTAGGTGAAGTATCAAATAATTTTGATATTTTAGCCTAGTGGAGTGAACACTCGAAAAATTATCCGGTTCTTGCCACCATGGCACGTGATCTACTAGCCCCTCTAGTGTCTACAGTTAAATCGGAGTCTTGTTTTAGTGTAGGTACCAAGGTGTTGGATGACAAAAGAAGTTGCATGAACGATGAGAGCATAGAGATGTGCATCTGCTTCAAGGATTGGCTAGATGCAGAAGATAGATTACAAGACATGGGAGAGCATAATACAACACCAAACATTTCACCCGAAGTAGATGATGAAAGTCATGAATGATGATTCATGAATTTGATTTATTGTAGAATTTTTCATTTTTTCAAATTATTGTAAAATTTTTAAATTTATTTGATTTTTTTTTAATTTTTTAACAATGTAATTTTGTATTTTCAATTTGTAACCATATTGTATTTTTTATATTTTATTAATTTATTCCATTTTTATATTTCATTCATCCAAGTATGCAATGATCCAATCATTGTATTTGTACCATTCAAATTTAAATGAAATAAAATTCCTATTTTTCTTCCAAATTGTTATTCCATCATTCTTATTTCAATTTGGTTAAGTATTTTTTTTTTACATTTATGTATTAAATAACTTAGATTTCTCATTTCTTAATTTTTTAAATAGTTCATAATTCCCAAAGATCATAGGAAAGTTAGATATTTTAGTTTTACAATTTTACTTAGAAAATAAATCAAAATTAAAAAAAAAATAAAAAATAAAAAAACAGTGTAGCTTGGTTCGGCCTAGGCCCAAGGCCCGCCCTGTGGCCTAGCCCGGCACGGTCCAAGCACATGGCACGGCCTGCAGCCTGGCCCGGCCCGACCCAATCCCGTGTACTGGCACGGCACGGCACAAGCCCGCTTGGGCCTGGGCCATGGGCCGTGCCGGGCCGATCCCCAAAATTTCCACCGGGGAGGACAGCACAGCCCATGGTGGCCCGTGGGCCAGCACGACATAGCCCACCTTTAGGGCGGGCTGCCCATGGGCCATGCCGTGCTGGCCCGACACAGCCCACTTTACACCTCTAATCAGCTACATGAATCATGTTTCTAATCATCATTATCATTCAAATTTTATCCTAATTATATGGGGTCAGCTACATGAATCCTGTTTCACCCATTCTGTTTAACCCCAGGCAGAAAACTAATTAATGTTTCAATCAATTTTCATTTTTCAGGCAGAGGTTCGCGGCTTCCAGCATGATGGCAGTTTGCACCTACAGGCAAGAAGTCAGAAGTATGGAAAGGTATCTAATGGAAAAGGGTCAAGATGAAACTTGTAACTTTTCTATATTAAAAGAAAAGAAAATTAACAAGAGGCTTAAAGTGCGACCTGCACTTGGATGATGTAAACTGATATCAAGGAGCAGAAATAGCTTTGCTCTTTTACAGCTCTAAAAGTTGTCTCCTGAAGAAAACATTTTTTTTTCTGCAATCTAAAGGTTTTAACTCTGTTTTTTTTTTCCTTTTTTTGATATTTCTTATAATGCGACTATGATTGATGATGCAGCTGGAAAGGGGTCAATTGCTCACAGTCCCTCCTTTATTTAGTGAAGAGACGCAAGCAGCATTTCCACCACCTTGAACAGTAGGGAATTGATTTGATTCTTGGATGCAATGGATTCAACTGGGTAGGTGAACATGTAGAAGCCAGGGATAATATGGTAGAAGATCAAGAGAACAAACCTGAACAAGAGAGGAACACCACATACTACCCAAAAGCTTAAGCTAGGTTATGGGCAACTCTTGTATATAAATAAATCCCTTGCACCTTTTGTTCTTCCAATGTAGGATTCACTTCAACTTACTCATACTTGAATTCCAACATGCAAATGCTGTTATAATTTTGTCTACGTTGGGCTTCAATCTGACTGTTGAAGTTAAACGGAGGAGCTCAGTATCAAAAAAGAAATGATCTCTGGCAGCCTAATTTGTAGTTCTGTTTATTTTATACTTCCTGTCTCGAAGGTGATTGAGAAATTTTTAGGGAAATCAGCATGAAAGAAATGGGATTTGTTTGTTACGAGAAAATGCCATAAAAATGTTAAAGAAAATGTTACGAGAAATGGGATACAGAAGTGTTTCGGGACCCCACTCTTTTTTAATAAAAATACCCTTAAATACCTCTCCAAAATTCAAATTTTGAAAAAAAAAACTAAAAAAATATAAATCCGTGTGAATGAAACACCTCTGAAGTCTGAACCTTGCTTGTACAAATGAGTACATTTAATGACAAGTGAGGCAGAGACGCAAATTTCAGATTTTGAAACGTTTTCATATAGTTATCAAATTAAAACGCCACTGCTGTCTAGTTGTTTGCTGAGAGAGCACGGCAAAGGCCAGACAAGATGACAGGACAATGAAAATGAAAAATGGAAGGACAGGATGGGGGGGGGGGTGTGCAAGCGTGCAGCAGTACAGAGAATAGATGCTTTCTGGCTGAGAGGGTACACGCAAAACAATTCGTGGCTGCCTCCCAAGTGGATGTCTATCGCTGTCGGCTGCACTGTAGTTCCAGAAAAGATCATTCAATGGTGGAAGAATGCCAGTGATTCTTCCATGTATTGTCGTTAACACAGATAGCAGAACATTGTGGAAGCATATTTACCTGAGACAGGCTTGAGGATGGATCACTGGCTGAGGTTTGTGAGAGAGGCCCACCATGATGTCGATGTATAAACTCACTGTCACTGGGTGTGGAGGAAATGTGCATTAATTGTTCCTTGAGGACATTGGTGTTCCTCTTCTGTCATGTCAACTTCAGGAAAAGACTCTACTGTGTCCCAAAACCAAGACTTCCATTCTTCCAATACCAGGTTATAGCCCTATAAACCATGAAAGGGTGCCAATTCCAAAAGAAACAATCCCCAGCTGAAATTTCCAATCCAACAGTTTTAGGCTTTTAGCTTGACCAATGTAACAGCCCAGCTCTAGGATGACAACAAACCTGATGCATTGTGTTACACTACCAAGATTTGTGCTTTAAAAGCGACCTATGTTTTGAGTACATGATAAAACACAAGATGTTCCAAATTGGAAACAAGGGGGAATAGTCATGAGTAATTCAATGAAGTGACATACTAAAACTGGCTATATAGGACATTGAAGCCCAAGATTCAGGTGCCAGTGTGCCATCAAATTTTCAGTTTAAGTATTTTCCTCATGGTTGAAGTTCCTCTTGTACATCAAAAGAGAAGATACATGGAATTGAGAAAAAGAAAACTTTTAGCTCTCTTTTCATTTCCACATGCTTTGTTAATGTAGGACCCTACTTTGCCTCCAATCATGCAATCTTAGTCATCTCTTCTTATCCTTTTTTCACTATGAACACCCTGTCCATTTCCATATGTTGGGTTTTGTCTATGGCATTCCTAATCTAACAATGCATGGCACAAGTTTTAGATCAGCTAAAACAATTCGATAAGGTGGCACAAAAATAAATCACAATTCATCTCTTAGTGTATGGAAGCAGTCTTCATCCCAAAAATAGAACTTCAATTTAGCTGCAGTTTGCAGCATGTGATGTGAACCAGTCGTGTCATATAAACCTGTAAACAACATATGCATAGAATTTTAGACCACTACCACAACAAAGAGGGTCTACACTTTAAACACTCTGAACAGCCAGTCTATTAATTCAGGTTTTAGTCACCAAACTCCAAATGGGCAATCAAGGTTGTTGTAAGATGGTTGATGATATGAAGATAAATATTAAATGTGTTATTTCTATCACAGTAGTAGATGTGGAACATGAAAGGTAAACAAGTTGAGGGAATTACTAACACTTTCACTGGTGGACGAGATATTACTACTAGCACCTACAATTCCTCGTCCCATTTGCATTCCAGAGCAGCAACATATAAAGTGATCAACCAAGGAAGATACCGACTATTATGTAATAACTGAAACCACTAATTAGTTAAGTAAATAATATAACAATGGGTTGTGGTTAAGAGAAAAACGTAACAAACTTGGCATTAATTCAATGGCAGACTGTAATAAGGCATGTAAGAGTCAGGGAATACACTCATGTACATGAAGAGCCAATTCAGAGCACATACCTGATGAGGGTCATCCATGGGGATGATACTAAGCACGACGTTTGTTAAACAAAACTCAGAAACAAACAGATTCGAATGGCACAGAACAAAGCAAAACAGAGATTATGCGAGGAAAGAAAAGAAGAACAGAGCACATACAGATTTACGTTATGAGGCCTTTGGCCTATGTCCATGTAGAGTGTTAGACTCCTCTTCAGGACAACAAACACTTCTACACAGCAATGCCTGTGAATTGGTGTTGGTGATCATGGAGCAAATGTTGGATCTCTCCCCTAGCACAATGGCTACAAAGGTTTAAAGAGTATATATAGGCATATAGCTCTTAAATCATCCCATGCAAGACCGAAATCACAAAAGTAAATAAGTAAGATGTGATAAACCTCCTTTTCCATAATTACTCCCTTCCTTTTTGTGCTGTAACTATTTCACACACTATGCGCAGTAGAAAATTCTACATAAAGGAGGAAGAACGGAAAGAATTGCAAATGCCCTAGCAAAGCAATTAAGTTCGCAAATAGCCAATAATCCTCTTCACAAAAATAGACAATCCATCAAAGAATAGTATGTATAATCCTACTGGATTTGCTGCTGATATTACAGAAAAACAATCACTAATCTCGTCAATTGTATATCCTCGCTAGGTTATTGCATTCGATGACAAATGAATTCAAGTCCATTGTAGAAATCAGGAAATTTAACAGAATAGAAAACTCTACCCCCCAGTAATTCAACACAAAGGACGGCGAAAAAGAAAATGTGAAGAAAAAATAGATAATTAAGATGGAGATCACCATTGTTAGAGCAGAGAAGCTTCAGCACTAATACAGAGCAGAAGTGAAGAGAGAGAGAGAGAGAGAGAGAGAGAGAGAGAGAGAAGGAAAACGAATGAAGAGCAGAGGAACCGCTCATTTTTTTCATTCAATTTTCTCCGAGATTACATTATGCTGGGCCCAGGCCCATGGCCCAGGGAAAGCAGTTCATAGCTTCGCGAGCTATCATACTAAATGGTCTTGATGTCTCTATCACTGTCGATCTTGCAAAAGGCTAAAGATGGATCGGATGTGCGAACTTGCTATGCTATGTAACAAGGGAATGTAGTGGGAACGGTTAGGCCCATTAATCATTATCTGACAAAAGAATTCAGACCACCACCAAATTGATTAGTAAACTTCTGAGGACTCTATCCATACCTACCTACCCACAAATAGCAGCACATTGGGAATGGGAGCATCTTCTGTAGTGTTGGGGTGTCAATTAGACTGGATTTGGCCAATCCGATTCAGTCCGATGTGAGTCCACTATAAATGGACTAGGTCCAATCCAATCTAATAAATATTTTAGATCATTTTGGACTGGTCCAATTCAATGTTTGGACCGTTCAATATGTTCAAATTTGTTTTGATTTAGATTGGTTTCAACCCAATCCTGGTCCATTGACACCTATATTCTTATCTTATACCAATGGACTAGATATTAGCTTAATCCAACCCAATCCAATATAAATTTATTATAGACGGACCACGTCCAATCCAATCTAATAAATATTTTTGACCAGATTGATCCAATCCAATATGTCTTGTGGGTCCATCCAAGACGTCCAAATTGATTTTGGACTGGACAGGGTTCGATCTAAAACCGGTCCATTGACAGCCTTACTGTAGTGGGTAGGACCGTAGTAGATCCGAGCTTCTTAATGTGTTGGCCAAGGCTGTAGCCCCAATTAAGTGCCTGTTTAGGAAGGCTTTCCAATAGTAGCTTCTTGCAGTTCGAGATAGGCCCCATATGGAAAACACGAAATCTATGTTTGGTAAAAATTAGGGCTGTTCATAAGAAGGCCCAACCCAACCAAACCGACCAATCCTGACCAATTCAACCTGAGTCGGCCAGATTTTCATCAACACGGATCGGATTCGGGTTGTGTAAATTCCTAAACCGATGATTCGGGTCAGTTTCGRTTTTCACATAAGAAAACCGAAACTGACCCAAACCGAACTGACTTAGTTCCTAGTTTAAACATGAATTTCCAAAGCCCATTAGGCCACCTAGTTTTTGAATGGTTGCAAGAAACTTTGGATTAGTGAATAGTGATTATAAACAACTTTTGTGATTAACTTTTCATTTAAATTTTATCATAGGAGATGGCTAAAATGATGTTCAATTTATGACTGTTTTTAAAATTAGCAAGATTTTATCATAGGGATGAACTTAGAACCGAAACCGACCCAACCCGACTCAAACCGACCAGGTCAGTTTTGCTTAACACTGGGTTGGTTTCGGTTTATATGTCAGGTAACCTGACCAGATCGGGTCGATTGGAAAAACCACAGTAAACCAACCCAACCCGACCCGTGAACAGCCCTAGTAAAAATCATGCATGTTCCAAACACCAATTTTATGACTGTTGAGTGAAATTACTTCAAGTAGCTTATCCGGAGCATGTTATGGCTCAATCAAAACGCAGAAGCCCTCCCAAATGGGCCATAAATCAATCCACCTGTCCCATACTCATGTGTAGGGGTGTCAATTGGACTGGATTTGGTCCAATTCGATCAAGTCCAATGTGAATCCATTACAAATAGACCAGATTCAATCCAATCCAATGATTATTTGGATCATTTTGGACCGGTCCAATTCAATGTATGGACCATCCAATCTGTTCAAAATTGTTTTAATTTAGATTGGTTTAAACCCAAATCTGGTCCATTGACGCTTATTTTGGACCGATCCATTGACGCTTATATTCTTATCTTATATCATGGATGGACCAGGTCTAATCCAATCCAATAAATACTTTGGACCATTAAGTCTGGATTGGTCCAATTCAATATGTCTTATTGGTCCATTCAATCCATCTAAATTGATTTTGATTTGGATGGGGTTCAATCCAAAACCAGTCCATTGGCATCCCTACTCATGTGAATTGAATCATCTATGCATTGGAATGAATATGAATTGAGAGTTTGTTTTCGTGAGACATGAAGTTCTGACCCACGCTCCAATTGAATATGAATAATAATTGTCAAAAAAATTTTATTAAACCAATAATTTAAATATTCTATACAAGTATTTATTTTTCTTTATTTTTTTTTATTTTTACGATTGCTCTTTATTATTATATCGTTGTTATGCCATCCCAAATAAATCCTTATGTTTAGCTCATATTTTTCTCTTTTATATTGTTATAAAAGAAATTCTTATTATTACTTAATTTTATTGGATAATAATATATACTTTGAGTTATTTATTCATTTATTTATTTTAGATATGTTAGCATTTTTATTTTATTTTATTTTTGTAACCCCAAACTTTACTCTAGGTGGAGGGGCGACCACCTTAAATTTTATTAACCATTTTCAAAAGGAAAATTTGTAATAAGAGGGGAGGACTTAGCAGTTTTATTTTTAATTTCAATTATTCTATAATTTTCTGCTTTTAGAGAGTAGGGTYTTTGTCAAAGATAGAGGTTTGAATCCCACAAAATGTCCAAAGTGAAATAAATGGATATTCTAATTCATATGAAAATAGACACATCCAACATCCAAATTTGGAAGTGCAGCCTACAATTCCAATTCCTATTTGGCTATTTCCTACCCCCAATTCCCACAATACACATACACCATAGCAATCAATATTACAAGAATAAAATAAAGAAGCAAAATTGAAAACCCCAAATTGTAAAAAAATTAAATGAGAAGTGAAAACATCTTAGCCCTATTGGTATAAGGCCTCTTCGTTTGCAAGTAAATATGCATGGGAAAGTTGGTCAATGGGTAACTTTTTTCCATTGACCAATTTTCCTATGTTCTTTTTGCATTGAGCAGTGGGCCCCATAGTAAAGTTACCTTTACTTTCCTAGGTAAAATTTATTCATCTCCCAAGTGGGTAAATAACTTTCCCGGCTGAACTTTTTACAAAACCTGATGGGACCATTTTACCCATTTTAATAGTTACTTTTGGTGGGTAGAAACGTCATTTTATTATTTACTTGAGAATCCTAAAAATCAAAAGAATATGGGTAAGTGCACTTACCTTACCTAGGTAAGTTGCACTGTTACAAACGAACGGGCCCTTAGGGGGCATTCTTTTTTTTGGATTTTGAGAGGGGGAAAGTTGGTCAATGGGATGACCAAGAATATCGGGTAAGTGATACCCATCTCCTAAGTGGGTAAATAACTTTGCCACCAGGGGAGAAAGATTCCAACACTTAAATGGGACAAAAATGTCCCATTTAATAATGGATTTTTGTGGCTAAAATGGTCATTTTTCTTTTTTACTTGGGAAATAAAAGAGCATGGGTGAATACACTTACCAAGGTAAGTGTTTCCCAAGAAAAACTTACCTAGATAACTGCATTTTCCCGGGTAAGTAACTTACCAAAAAGCAAATGGAGCCTTAGAAAAATTCTCTTTTGCTCATTGTAAATTTGGATCAGGTAGCGGAATTTTGCAAATCTTTGGTTCCATCCATAATTTATATTCTTTTTGTGGTAGAGCAAGGTTCAAAATCCATGTTTGTGGCAAGGTTTTAAAATCCAACCCAAAAACGGAACCATTCTAGCCACCGGTTTTTGGTTTAGTGTTTCAACCATCCAGGTCAAACGGTTCAAATGATTTGAACATCTTACCTATTAGATTGGAATATTAAGGTAAGATGCATATAAATATAAGAAAAAATAAGGTTTGATTGAGCTGAAAGAGTTTAGAAGAAGAAGAAGAGGACTTGTAGGCTACAGTGGCAATGATGACGGCAACTTGTAGCAGCAACAGTGATGGCGAACTACAGCAGCGGAGATGGTGGCAAACTGGCGATGAAAGTAGGAACTCACACTCTCTCCTAGATCTGTCGTCTAGAGTCTATATTGCTCTCCCAGATCTCCAAATGTGAGATCTCTCATATCTCTGTCACTATCTCACACATCTCTCTCTAGTAGATCTCAGATCTGAGAGCTACTCTAAGTATATTTTCATTCTTGTTCTGACAAAAGTTGTCAGAAGTAATAAACCGCAAACCGTTCTCCAGGTCAAACGGTTCAACGGTCAAACCATCTGAATCAATGATTCATTGACTAATTCAACGGTTTTGACCAAATACTAGGTTTGGGATAAAATGGAACCAGTTGCCTGAATGATTTCTAGTCCAAACAGTCCGACTGTCCGGATCAACGACGATTCAAAAACATTGATTTGTGACATAAAATACAAGATTTGTTTCAATGTAAAAGGGAAGAGACCTTTTCTTTTTTTTCATCCTAGAGACGGAAAGAGTATAGCTGAAATATTTTAGAATAAAAAGTTTTTCACCCCTTTTATTTGGAGGAAAAAAATGCAAAGCAGAAGGGATGAAATTGTATCTGAAATATTTAACTCTGAACAAAAAAAAGTCCCATCCCTTATGTTGAAACAAACAGTAGAGACTCATTCTGAGATTAAAAAGTAAAGATGTCAGGAAAGCAAAACTAATTTGAATAACAAGACTTAGTTGACTTGAGTATTGCAAGATTACACTTTATTGAAACCTTTGGTATAACTCATCATGCATTTATGTCCATAACTAAGACATAAAGTACTGTTTGTTTATTATTGTTTCTCTTTGATCTGTTTATTCCAACATTGACAAATCAGGATCTTTGACTCTACTAGACACAAGAGAGAGAGAGGTTCAAAGTATCAATACCTATTGACTTTTGAGGCTGCCCAATTGTCAAATAGTGGGAATTAATGGAAGTATGTGGAAGTATGTATGTTCATAATTTAATATAAGTAGGCAGCATCTATTATTTGAAAAGACTGCCACATAAAAAGTAAGAAAAAAAGGTGCATTGAGGCTTTGACATGCTTGATACTTTGAACCTAGA